CAAAATATCACACATATGACCACAAGCACATAAAAGTTGCTCCACTTGAAGCTAAACTAGCCCACGTATTTAGAGAAATGACTAAATAGACAGGAATTTGTCTATTTGATTTTGAGCTTAGTAAATTAGAAACGTCAACTTGAGTCGAGACAAAGTCGAACGTATCTTTTATTGTTATATTTTTTTATTTTCGATTGATGTGAAACTGTAGTCTCCTTGCAAGAGTTGGAAAAAATAAAATTTCTCAAAATGGGGACTGAGCCTTGAAAGGCTGCCTACGTATCTCACGAGGGAGAATTCAGGTCCTACGTAGTTCGACCCACTTGAATCTCTTTTGATTTTAGATGGCGAATTTTTATTTTTTTTATTTTTTTTTATTTTTTTTTTTGATATGAGAGAGTAACATTTGAAAAATGAAGTTCGAAATTTGTTGGGGAAACTAAAGACTCGAAGAGTATTTGGACGTACTTTTGAATGTGATTTGATATTTGTGCTTAGGGGTGTCTAGAAAGTTTCCAAAAGAGTAGGCTAGAACATCTTCAAATAAAGCAACATAATCACGCAAACAGTTATAACACATAAACAGTTATTGCGTATTTTAAACAGATATGTGACCCTTTTGTGCCAAGGGTAGGCCTAATGATTTGAGGGATGTATATGTCATTTGAAACATTTCATTGCCCCTAGAACTTAAATTTATACATGCTTTGTAAATAAAATGAATGGGGATACATAGTAGGGAAAATGGGATACAAAATAATCAGTCCCGCGCAGGGGTACAATCTTAAACTATGCTTCAATGGAAGGACCTTCGTTCTTGAACTTCTTGTCATCTTCGAGTGTCGACTCCTTTGGATGGACTAGTAGCTTGTGAAGCTATTCCTTCGGCTAGAATAAGCTATAATCTACCTCTTACCCTAGAGGACAATGATTTTTCAAATAACGTATATATCCTTCAAATTTAAACAAATAAGCATGATTGTCTTTTATAGACCAAAATGGGTCAAATAGACACAAGGTGGGCATCTAATGGGCCCAACACGCCTTGGGCGTTGGGTCGACTTAGTTCAAAATGCGCTAAATTTGGGATTTGGTTTCGCTCTACGCTAGTTGACTAAGAGTGGCTTTGAAAGACCGGGAACCCAAGTGGACAACTTAGGCTGAAATTCACGACAACCATTGGACGCATGACGTACCAATAAATTGTCGATCCTTTCGAAAAAGGGTTGAGTATAAAAAGTCCGGATGCGATTATGCAGAAACCGTCCTTAATATACTATACATATAATAGGAAGATGCCATGAATGCAATGACAATTATAATAAATTAAACACGTTGAGAGCAGATAAACAATTTAGCAATTAATACAATTAGTCAAATAAGTCAAATCTTATGGTTAGAACTTAATTAAATCCCCAGCGGAAGTCGCCATTTCTGTTTATATTTAAAAAGATATGTAAAAGGAAAATGACTTAGTTTTCGAAAAACCGATTAAACTTACGATTTAAGAGAAATCGAATTTTCAAAAGAACAGAGTCGCCACTTAATTTTTAGTAAAAAAAATCAAGAAAAAATACAAGATTTTTCAAAGACTTAAACAGATAAAATCAATTGAAAAAAGGGTTCGAGTTCAAATGTACATTCCGAGAAGGTGTTAGGCTCTCGGAATGCCCGCTAACTCGCGGTTGACCGGCGATTTGACCAAAATAATTTTTGACTAATTTTGAAATTTTAACAAAATAAAAGAACTCAATTATTTTTTACTAATCTTTGAAATTTTTAACTAAATAGAATAATTCATTTATTTTAACTTATTTTGGAAATTTTAACTAAGTAAAAACTCATTTATTTTAACCTACTTATTTATTACTATTATTGTTTTTTAATATTTTATTTATCTAAAGGGAAATGGACTAGAGGGGAATTTTCTAAAGGGAAAAAAAACATATGATAAGACGAAATATAAAAGTAAAGCTAAGTATAAATATTTCAATTTGGATATATATATATACCTAAAAGGAAATAGCTATCTTTGGGAATTTAATTAAGTTAAACCATAAGATAATTAAGGTGTTAGTCAATACAATAAAAGTAAGTAAGAGAGGGTAAGAAAATATTCAAATTTGGGCCTATTGCTGCGTTTTGGGCCTCTTTCAGCCCATTTTCGCTCCCCAATCACTGTGTATACAGCAAAGGTATATCGATGTATATAGGCGTATTTCGATCCATTTTTTGTGTATATCAGACCGTAGGTCGAACGTGGACAGCCCACTTCAAATTTCCAGCACCTATATCGGCTTTCCAGCCCTGTATATCGCTGTTCTTTCTATGTATACGCGTGTATACACTCGTATACATCATGTCTACTGCTCTTTTTGGGCTTTTTAGGATCTGAAAATTCAATTTCCAGCCCTTGTACTACCTGAACCTGTTCACCGGCTATTTGGACTCGATAAAGAGAAGCAAAACCCCGAAATGCAAGGATGAAATGGAGTCCCCATGGACTCAAAAGGAGTTTCACATGCAAGTAAAATGGAAGAAAGGAATTAATACACAATACAACTAATATAAATACAAAAGGGATAAACCAACCTACTGCAACAATATAAATTTAGACTCAAGCCAAAAATGTAAACTAACGTATAACTCCTTTTTAGGGGATCACAATATACACATTCACCCAAACATAAAACACCTACTAAACATAAATTATAGTACCCCTAGTATGGAACAACACATTAATGAAAAATAATGACCAGAGAGGTTATAAGCGGCAAGTGATAAAGACTGGTCAGCCTATGCTACATGTTTCCAGAATTCTTAAGGAGGACTAATTAGAACTAAATTTAATTAAGTTTAACAAAGGAATACATAACATCAAAATATGGAGCAATTATGAGTACGAGTAAGCAAAGAGAAAAATAACGTCCTTGGGATATAACAATACTGGACGGTAGTCCCAAAACAAGACAAAACGCCAAAACAAAGTCTCAAGACGAATTACCACACTTCGTTAAAGTTATAATCGCACCTCACAAATCAAATTTGCAATACTCGAGCATGATGGCGATAAGACCCAAGCAGTGATAGACGACACAATTTGATAAATAACAAGGAGATAAACTAAGAAATCAAAGCAGATTCGACATTTGAGGTAACGAAGACAAGAAAAATGCTAACAGTCGACCAAAACGAGCAAAAACACTAGAGAGTTTCAGCCATACTTTAATAACCGTAGCCGAGATTTCAGCAAAAACATAGCATTTAATTAAATAAATCAACCATTCTACATAAGAAACTAACTGTAACTTAGGAACATTCGAATAGAGAGCTTAAACTAGCTAGAGCAAACAGAACAAATATGAGGAAAGAAATTACCTCCTTCCGGGCAGTGAACCGAGACAAATACGAGCTTGATTTCGGAGTTTCCACCACACAGATTCAAGGCTAGGATAACACACCAAGAGAATCCAAATTATTCCCCCTCTGGTTCCTTAGGCGTATTTTGTATATATTTTTAGCGATTTCTTGCTTAAGTTCTCCTCTGCTCTATTGCTAAAAGAATAAGAATCCAACGCCCCCCCAACAGTGAACAAGGGAAGCCTTTATAGGATGAAACTAGGGTAGAATTTTAGAGGGAAACGAATTAAAAACGGGCAGAAACGAGGCCCATTCCAAAATTCAAAACTTGAAAATCTTTCACGATTTTGGGCGAACACCTTTTTTTCTTCAGGTTTCACCCCATTCCGAAAAGGGAAATGGGGCAGACGCATGCTCTGTCCTGCTATTGCGTGTGTCAACGCGTTTGGACTGCTGTTGTACGTTTTTCTGGGCTGCTGGCTCTCTTGTCGCTTCTGGATTTTGAACGTTGAAGAAGATGGAGTTGGACGTTGTTTCTGGGTTTTCTTTGTGAAGGAAAAAAGTGGACAGATCGGGTCAGGTATGGGCTGCTGTATTTGCTGGAATTGAATTGGATTTGGTCATTTTTGAATGTTGTGGGCTGATTTCGGTGGGCTGCTGAAGGCAGAAAACAAAGGCTGGCTGGGAAATTGAATTTAGCCCAAAAATTTGGTCTTAAAAGCATTGGAACTTAAGCTAGGGTGGCTATCTTGGCAAACTATGAAATAACTATTGAATTACAATCATGACCAATTTAAGTTGAAATTGTAGCCAAATTGAATTAAATATTTAGCCGAATGAGTTTAGTTGGTAATTCGACTAAAACTAAACGAGACGAATTAATAGAAATTAATTAATGAGCTTTTTAATCTTAACGAAATAAGATAATTGACTTAATTATAACATAATTAAAATACGAACTAATCAATTCAAAAATCGTAATTGTGATTTAAACTAAACTAGATTAATAAAATACTTAGCTAAAAAGAAATAAAATCTTTTTGATATGATTTTCAAATATTTATAAAATGTGCTAATTAATAATATAATATATATATATATATATATGTATGTATGCATGCATATACTATTTGAAAGTTCCAAAAAGTGACAAAATCACATAAAACTAACTTGAAAATATTTTGAATTTTATAAGGTCAATTATTTCAAATCGTTCGGAATTTAAGAAGCTCGATGATTGATTATTATCGGGGAGGGTCAAAATTAGGTGTCAACAGCCTTAATTCGGTAACGTGAAAGACTCGAGTTTTGTAACCAAAACTCCATTCATCATACGTTAAAAAAGGTACACATGACAGTTATTCCAGTTAGCAACTTTTCTTTTTTGCTTCTTTCGTGTTTTTTTCTTCAAAGAAACACAAACTTTAGTCTTTCACTTATATAATAAAATAAAAAACTAACCTAAAATAAAAAAACTCAGCCCTAACATATAGTATAACTTCTTTCCTTGCCCATTTTTGTTGTGTAATACGTAACTTGATTGCCAATTATTATTTTTATGTTGTTGGTTCTAACTTCTAAGTAAGCCCTAATCTAATCTCTCTTGTTATTTTAGTTTCCTTCATATTTTCTTGTTTGTTTTGTTGCAAAGCAAACAAAAATTCTGGTAATTGAAGTAGGAAATTTGATGCAGCAAGGAATGGAAAGTAAGAAAAAGATTGAAGTTGAAGAGCTAAAGAATGTAAACGAATTTGGTGATGGGGTTTCATGGTATAGAGGAGCAATGCTGGGGAAAGGAAGTTTTGGGTATGTTTATCTTGCTAATTTGAAGAACCCAAACTCGAAAAATCGATACTTGCCATCAGTTATGGCTGTGAAATCGGCTGAAGTATCTGTTTCAGGTTCAATTCAGAAGGAAAGGGAAGTTCTAAGCAATATCAAGGGTTGTCCTTACGTAATTCGATGCTTTGGGGATGAAACTACGAGTGGTAATAATGGTGTGATGGCGTACAATTTGTTGCTCGAGTATGGCTCTGGTGGAACCCTAGCTGAGAGGATCAACAACAGAGGGTTGGCTGAATTTGAGGTGAGGTTGTATACGAGGTCTATGCTTAGAGGGTTGAATCATATTCATGCTATTGGTTATGTTCATTGCGATATGAAACCTGAGAACGTCTTGCTTGTGCCGAGTTCTAGTAAGGGAAGCGTTGAATTTAGGGCAAAAATTGGTGATTTGGGATTGGCGAAGAGAGAAAATCAGAGTAAAAAGAGGAGATTAGAGCCTTATTGGAGAGGTACTCCGATGTACTTGTCGCCAGAAGCTGTAGCTGATAATGTACAAGAGTCTCCTGCTGATATATGGGCTCTTGGTTGTATTGTGCTTGAGATGTTAACGGGAAAACCTCCGTGGAATCGAAAGGATGCTGAGGATGTACTCAGGAAGATTGGGGAAGGACATGAATTGCCTGAGATTCCAGGGGATTTGTCTAAGGAAGCGAAAGATTTCCTTAAGGGTTGTTTTGTGAGGAAGCCTACATATAGATGGACTGCTGAAATGCTGTTAATTCATCCGTTCGTTGAGGGTTTAAGTGATGATGATGGAGTGGAAGAACGAGAGGAGGTTGAAGATATAAATGAAGTTGATTCTATGCAATTGGTTACTGAGACGGACGATGAAGTTTCCTATTCTCAAGAAGATTGGAGCTGCATTTCTGAAGAGGAATCCGTTGGTTACTGGTCGGAAGATGATACAGAGATTACGGAGGATGAAATAGCCTCTTCGTTTGCTGAAGAAAGGATGAGCATTAGAAGCTCTAGCATTGATAGTGGTTTTAATAGTATGATTGATACATCATCGCAAGTAGCTTCACGGAATCCATCAAATAATTCATCGAAATGTCCATTAAAATTTACAATTCCTGCTGGTGTCTTAGCACTAGGTGGTAGGAGGGAGATATGATTTATTTATACCTTATTTGGCTACACTCTCTGTAGATTCTATGCAACTTATATTGTCTGAAATTTAATGATAAGTTTTTAATTCCTTTATCCTTTTAGCCGCCATTTTGCTCAACCTTTTAACTTTTCTGTTTCCAAGTCCTAAACCCACTGAATTTTTGTTTGTTCCTCCTTGTTTCTTCTTAGACTTACCCTTTCATTTCTGGATTTCATTTGCATAATGAATGTGTACATGTTAGCTCAGCTTCATTCTATCAGACAATTATTATTCGGAAAACCAAGCACTTTACATTGTCTGGAGTATGCGCTTGAATCTAAACATTAGATTACTAACTTGTAGCGTTTTTTTCTCTTTTGGTTAAACATTAGATTACTAACTTGTAGCGTTTTTTTCTCTTTTGGTTAAACATTAGATTACTAACTTGTAGCGTTTTTTTCTCTTTTGGTTAAACATTAGATTACTAACTTGTAGCGTTTTTTTCTCTTTTGGTTAAACATTAGATTACTAACTTGTAGCGTTTTTTTCTCTTTTGGTTAAACATTAGATTACTAACTTGTAGCGTTTTTTTCTCTTTTGGTTAAACATTAGATTACTAACTTGTAGCGTTTTTTTCTCTTTTGGTTAAACATTAGATTACTAACTTGTAGCGTTTTTTTCTCTTTTGGTTAAACATTAGATTACTAACTTGTAGCGTTTTTTTCTCTTTTGGTTAAACATTAGATTACTAACTTGTAGCGTTTTTTTCTCTTTTGGTTAAACATTAGATTACTAACTTGTAGCGTTTTTTTCTCTTTTGGTTAAACATTAGATTACTAACTTGTAGCGTTTTTTTCTCTTTTGGTTAAACATTAGATTACTAACTTGTAGCGTTTTTTTCTCTTTTGGTTAAACATTAGATTACTAACTTGTAGCGTTTTTTTCTCTTTTGGTTAAACATTAGATTACTAACTTGTAGCGTTTTTTTCTCTTTGGTTATTGTAGCTGTTATATTAACCGCTTACTTCTCATGTTTATTGTAGGAAGCTGGCTGGATAATCAGGACTTTGATCACCATTGTCTCAAGGCACCGTGTTTCTAGAAGAAAATCTTGATAAATCTATATCACTGTCGTCTGTCTGTTTATCTTGAACTTCATGAACCACCTAATAAGTTTATGAAGATTTCCATAACCAGCGTTTGACAACATTTTTCTGATTGGAAGCCAAATGCACACTGCAGTATGCTTATCTGAAATTTCATGAATTATATTACAAATTATGTGTATCGTGTTCTTTTACTAGCCCCTCTTTCTAGGACTAAGGACACTTATCCGGTCATTCTTTTATCACGATTTATGCATTGCCTATCCTTTGGATGTCAGTTATAAACGCTTAGATTCACTTTAGGGAAGGAAGAACGGATAGGTACAGAGAAGTAGGAAACTTAAGTTAGCCATCCATGTTCAATGATTAAGCAAGCCTAATTTAGTGACTTGAGATTTTTCCATTTATATCATGTCATCTTTGCAGATGTTGCAGTAACAGTGAATCTTTTCATCTTTCATGAACATTGTTACCGATAATGTTATGTGTAGCACAAGTATACTGTTCTCTGGATGACACTCACATGTCAAGCTCGTGATTTAATCATAATAGTTTTATCTTGTTGAAAGTGCAGAAGCATTCTGTAAGGTATCCCTGAAAAATTCTATTAGAATCAGAGAAATTCAAATGAAGTGAGTGAGCAGGAAAACTATTTATACCTTGTGCTCCTTTTAGTTGTGAAGTACTACAAGATCTTGCCAAGATCGACCCCTGATATTTCCTGTCGTTTCAAGTTCTGTTAAACTCACTTCTCCTTGTTTGCCTCTAAATTTGCAATTCAGTTAGTTTCCTGGTGTCGCAAGACAAAATTACTTGTGCAACCCCTAATGAAGTAGTTATTTTTAAACTGTAGTTCTTAATTTGTTACTTAGATAGTGCTCGTCTCGTTTGGATGTTGAAAAGCAAGAGGAGTCCCTGTCCCTCCTGTTCTTCTTTAAGAAAAGGGAATAAATTGTCATAATCTCCTTACTTCATGCTTCATAATCCATTTTACAGAAACTTAAATGATATCACGACGAGGGATCATGGAGGAAAATCAGCTGAATCAAAATTGCTGCTGAGGCGGAAGTGAATTGCAAGCCTGATGAATGACGGCTTCTGAATGACTGATTCCAATGTTGATTGTGCTGATGATGATGAGACGCCACGTACCAGAAGGTATTATGTATATTCATAGTGAGAAGGAACTGCAGGTATTGCATCGATCTACTTCATATTCCGGAATGTAACTACTTCCAGGCATGCATTTTCCTTTCTTCCTTCTATGCCTTTTAGACAGGACTTTCAAGGCTCACAAAGTACTTACCATCTGTTTTTTTATACTCTTAATTACTTCGTGCCAGCTTTTATTCTTGTTACTTTATGTACTTGTCTTGGTTCAACAGAGATTAATCATGTGGAAGTTTTACCCTCATAATGCACCACCAAGATTGAATTTTCTGGTGAAACAGAGTTGGCATATTCATTCTTCATTTCTTAGCATTCATTGATTAATATCGACTAGTCAGGGAATATGAGCCTCAAATTCGCTAGGATAGATTTTCAGGGAACTTTGCTACTAGTTTCAATTTCATTTGTCATAAACATATACCCCCTCCGTCTCATTTTATGTGAGGTAGTTTGACTCGACACAAAGTTTAAGAAAGAAAAGAAGACTTTTAAAATTGTGGTCTAAAATGAATGATAAAAATTTGTGTGGCTATAAATCCTTTCATTAAGGGTAAAATAGACATTTTAAAGATAAAATGTTACTTAATATAGAAATGTGTCATTCTTTTTGGACTGACTAAAAAAAGAAAGTAAGTCACATAAATTGGGACAGATGGAGTATACATTTAGAACTAACACAGTACTAAAGATCTTCTTCATATGTACTCTCTTACTTTATGACAAAAAGTTTGAAAAATTATTACTCTATTTGTGTCTTCATTATTGGACTCTTTTGTTTTTAGTTTCTAATTTTCTACAGCAAATGTGCTGATTAAAGTGAGGAGAAATGGAGGTATTACTAGAAAGGAAACAGAGCCAGGGATCATAATTAAAAGCTAATTATTAGGGTCTGTGGAAAGCACAGACTATGATGAAAGTTAACAAAGGTGATTTTATACTCAGAGTTCAAACCCAAGAAGCCGAGACCTCTATAATTAAGGAGAAGTACTTATCACTCTATTACAATCTTTTAGCGGTTCTTTCAAGCCAAATTGCAGGCACTTCTGTAATACTTAATTATCTTAATCAAACTAGATAACTTTGCTGAAAACAATCTAGTAACCTTAGAAGTAGTCACATTTTCCCTTTACTCGAAGTAAGAATATTTTTTCAAAGTTGCATTGCCAAAATTAAATCAGAGATAAATGGTAGGCTCTACATGCGTGCAACTATCAGAAAATTGGCTAAAAAGAAAAGCATCATATCCCCTTGAATTGTGTTCATATCACAATTAAAGAATTAGGTTCCAATAATATATGGATTTTGCACTTTTATATGTCTCATCCAACTTCAAAAGTGTCTGTTAAGAACTCTTATTCAAGGTCTATGAAGAAGCAAAGTCTAAAATATTCTTTTTCTATCCCTAGAAACAACTAGAATTAAGCACCGACAAGCAGCGTCATGATCTTATCTTGCTATAGTTATTCTTTTTTAAAAGAACAGCGTCTTTCCTTATTTGAACTTTTATTTATTTCCTTAAAGAAAAGTCAAAGTATTACCATAAATACTTGAACTTTTTCTAAAAGGAAAATATAATTGTCTTCCATATTTGGTTTATTCTTTCCTTAGAGGAATATTTGGAGATCTATAAATTGAAGATCCGTATTCTCATAGCATAACACAATAGAATCGCCAGTTGGTTAATCAAATAATAATATTATGTCTTTTAGTATAGTTTTATGTTTTCTCTAATTTATCAACCATATTATTTGCAATTGTAAGCTTCCGCATGACGCCCTAATCTCCTTCATAACCCAACACTGTGAAGTGTACTCCTCATTTTTTGAGCTAGATTTTGGGTTGAGTTAAACACGCAAGATTCATCACATTAACTAATGATGAAAAAGGTGGAAGTTAGGGGTAGAAAAAAAATACAACTTAGTTTTACCTTTTACGCAAATATTTGGAACTTTAAGCACGTCAAAATTGCATAACCATAAAACTTCCCCATTAAACACATTAACGATACGTCCTTATAAATTAGAAAATGGTGACGAAATTGAGTTTAACTTACATGCTATTAAAAAAAAGAGTAGATTACACATAATTGTCTATATTATCTACAATATGTGGTAAATAAAATGTTATAACATCAATACTTAATACCAAAAAAATTAAGAGATGTAATGTCAGTTTGTATAAGTTAAACCCAGTACTAAAACTTTAGACTTTTAAGACAAGCAAGTCATGTTTTCCGGTTCCATTTCTAGGGTCAGGGGATATAGCATATCCAGTGAAATATCACAAAGTAAAGGTCGAGGCATATATGCCCTTACAAAAAGTGAAGGTGGAGAGCAAGAAAAAGGAATAGAAAACATGCAAATAACATGCACACATTGATCCCTATATATTTAGTGATCATCAAGAGAAATAAGTCACATCTTCATTTTTACACAGCAAATTCTCCATCCTTTTTCAACAAATGAAGAAATTTGGTTTTGGTCCTCTTTTTGCCATTATGATTTTGTTATGTGCAATATTTGCCTTAACAAGTTATACTGCATCTGCTTCTGAAATTTCTCATAATGCAACACCAAACAAAATTATCGATGGCACTGTCCAAAAACAAAACTACATTTTGGGACAGCAGAGAGAAGTAGTAATTCATCGTCGAGCTCGTCCTAATAGTAGTTCTGCCTCATCCATCAACAAACACCCCTTCTTCATCTTTGCCTTCACCATCTCTCTTCTGATCGCCTCTTAATTATCGTCACTCATTGTTAATTTTATATGTATCTTTATACTCGTTGTAACTAAAAATCCTGGCTCTGCTAGCAACTCATTTTATTTGATCGTAAGCTATTAATTCTATACATGTGTGTGATTGAAATGTCGTGTCTTATAATATTAATTGTTTCTATGATATTTGACTTATCGTTGTTGCTTTTGTAATCCTTTTTCTAAATTTCTTAGCTTCACACATTGTACGAAAAGTGGGCCATGTTGATTTATTAGTCCTATCACAATGACTTGACTTCTCAAATTCTTGCTTTTTTGCATTTTATTGTCTTCGTTACTTTTTGTTGCGTATATTAAAAATATTAGTTTCAAAATAATTGTCAATTTAAATAATTCAGAAATAATATTTTTTTTCAAGTTTGCCCTTAACATTAATTATTCTAAAATTAAGAGGCACATATATAAATAAAAATTAAAGAATTAATAAGGTTTGACACAATCCTAATTATCTTGACAACTAAAAAAGAACTGAGGGAGTAATTATATATACCCATACGTATATTTGTTACTAACTAAATTTTATTTATATGTTCATCTGGAAAAATTACTGTATATTATTATCATGTTATATATAATGAATAATTACAAGTTATACACTATGTTATTACTGGGGCAACCTAGTAATAATTACATGGTAGTTTCCAAATAATTAATGAACAATTTTCTCCGGAAGGATGATAGCTTATACGTACATACTACATAGTATGTTAGAAAAATATAAAAGGAGCATGGTAATTTCTCAGTGCCTTCCTTCTATGATTTCTTGATTATGCAAATATTTACTTGTTTAATGTGAATAAATTCGGAAAAAATTACTAATATCTTTGTGAATACATAAAAAAAAATTATTTCAAATTAAATATAAGCCTCAATTAAAAGTTCAGAATATAATAACGTGAAAAACCTCATATAGGCAAGTTAGAACGTATACTCTATCGATTAGTAATTTCATTCAAAAAGTTGAGATTGATTGACTATTTGAATTTTCATTTTGCTTGTGAAGATTCGATTCCTCACCTTAGAATCCACTCTTGATTATTATATTTTCCTCTTAAAAAAAAGCTCTTTGTTAGGATATTCTTGCATAAATGAAAGACTCGGCCAACTAGTATTATTCATAATAAGGGAATAACTAATAGACAAACTTCTATCCACCAACTTGTATGAAGCTAAATTGACTTATGAGAGTAGATATTTTCTCTGTACCAAAAAAATATAGATATTTTCGCATAATATCTTTGTACCAGTAATGATTTATCATAAACAATTTTTTTACTTTTACAAGGTATAAGTATGACTTTGTACATCTTATCTTTTCAAGACTTCATTTGTAAAATTATAGTGGACATGTTGTAATCCAATTAATGAGAACTTTTAAAAAGAAAATTACTCTATTACGTTCCTTTAAATTATAAGTCTTAATTTAATTGGCCAATTTTTTTTAAAAAAAAGAGTATGTATTTTCGTATAATATCTTTGTAAGCAGTAATGATTTATCGGAAATAATTTTTCTACTTTCACAAGATATATATATAACTTTATATATTCTATCTTTCGAGACTATCGTTTATGAAATCACACTAAACATGTTGTTGTAATCCAATTAATGAGAACTTTTAAAAAGAAAGTTACTTTGTTACATTCCTTTAAATCTATGCGTCTTAGTTTAATTGGTCAAAAATTTAATAATATAAGAAAGACCTAAATATTTTGTGATTATAAACTAAAAATACATATAATATTTGAACTATTCATTGAATCTCATGATTTTAAATATATAATTTCATTTCTATTAGAGACTTTTATTTATTAAGAATAAAAAGAGAATATTGACTTTTTAAACTTATTAACTATAAATTTTTTGATTCTTTTTTAAAAATATAAGGAAGTCACCATTTTGAAAATATACCAAAGTGGGATGGACCATAATTTATTTATTCAAAAAAAAAAAACAGAAATTGGGGAAGAAGTCAAAAACGAAATAGAAGCAGTATAATAAAACAGAAAAAAGCATAACATGATTCCACGTCACACCAAACCAATGGCCAAAGTCGGATAAGATCGTGAAGAGCCGTTCAAATTATGTAAGTATTATTTTAATCAAGTATTTAAACACATAATAAAAGGTTTATAACTTTATATACACCATTCTAGTTTAAATTTTGATAAATATTAATGCATATTCTAAAATAACGGATAGGTAAATAAGTTAATTACTTAAGATATATTATCTTTTTTAATTACGTGTGTTTGATTATGTCTTAAATTTTTCTCTCTATATTTAGAAAGTCTGATTTAAGAAATCATTATCCTAATAAATTTAGGAAAGGAAAAAATATATTATTCTCGTAGATTGGAAAAACTTGTCTATATATAAGAATTGTAATTAGGGAATCATAAAAGAATTATACACATCTTCTCTTTCGTGGTAAAAAAAAATCTGTATACTTCCTTTTCTCTATTTTT